TTGAGCATGATGACCTAAGTAGGATTTTCTTCAAATTTATTCTGTTTGGGGTTCATGAAACTATGGAATCTTTAAACTAACCCCTTTAAGCAATTGGAAGTTTCTGGTCATTATTTCTTGAGATCCTTGTTTTCTGTCCTTTTCTCTTTCTCTCCTCTTTCTTTAACTATATTTACACACATTAGACCCTTTGAAATTGTTTCATATATCTGTGAGTCTCTGTTTTTCTTCCTGTTAAGATCACATACTTTTTATTGATCCATCTTCAAGTTACTGCCTTCAGAGGAAAGCTGCAAAAAATGGAAACTTACCATGTTCCTTATGTTTCTTGTGCAGATTTCAACTTTGCTCCAAATACTGCCTGTTTTTGTTTTGTCTTCAGAGTGTCAGATAGTTGGTTTATATTTTGTCTAGATTTTCTAATTTTCTAACTCATTTTTTTTATTTTAGAGAGAGACGGGTGGAGGAGCAAAGGGAGACACACACACACACACACACACATACACAGAGAGAGAGAGAGAGAGAGAGAGAGAGAGAGACTTGAGCAGGCTTCATGCTCAGCATAGAGCCAGATGTGAGGCTTGAACTCCAGACCCTGGTTCAATGACCTGAGCCTAAGTCAAGAGTCAGTCACTCGGGGCGCCTGGGTGGCTTAGTCGGTTAAGTGTCTGACTTTCGCTTAGGTCATGATCTCGCGGTTCGTGGGTTCGAGCCCCGCGTCGGGCTCTGTGCTGACTGCCAGCTCAGAGCCTGGAGCCTGTTTCAGTCTGTGACTCCCTCTCTCTGACCCTCCCTGCTCACGCTGTCTCTCTCTCTCTCTCCTAGAAGTGAATAAAACATTAAAAAAAAAATTAAAAAAAAAATTAAAAAAAAAAAAAAGTCAGTCACTCAACTGACTGAGCCACCCAAGTGCCCCCAGATTTTCTAACTCTTATTTTCAGCAAGATCAGGTTCTTGGGTCTTCATTTCCTCATGCAGTAAGCAGAAATGAAGGGTATTATTTTACTTTGCATCAGCACAGATTTAATTCAATGCCTTACAATTTATGTAATCATATTCATAGTCCTCAATGAATTAATAATAATAATGACCTAAAGTCTGCAAAAAATAATTAATGAAAGATTAAAAACTGTTCATTCTACTAGACTTCTTAATGAAGAAGATAACTCATACATTTACAAAATTTTTTATTGATTTACTCCTAGTTAACTAAAAAGATCTTTCTGAATTTCCAATGCCTTGGTTTCTTTATCAGTCAAAAAAAAAAAGGTTAAAAAAAAGACTATGTTAAGTTTGTCCTGAAAAATACTCTACTGTTATATATAGTATTGCTTGCAAAAAAGTTGTGTGGTTACATTTATACAGGATTGCAGGATTAAACAAAGTTGAATAGGGTTCTTTTCTACAATATTCGTCAAAGCTTTTAATATGCTAATATATTAGGAGTTTCTGAAAAGAGGACAAGATCAATGTTACTTTTTTTTGAGAGAGAGAGAGAGAGAGAGAGAGAATCTTAAGCAGGTCCCATGCTCAGCACAGAGCCTGACTTGAGGCTCCATCCCACAACCCTGGGATCACCTCCTGAGTCAACATCAAGAGTTGGATGCTCAACAGACTAAGCTACTCAGGCACCCCAATATTATTTATTTTTGCTTTTGTCTCAGGCTTTAAGATGCCTGAGCAAGCAACTGTTACTGATCCTTGATCTTTTATTCTTCATGGAGTTTTCCCCCATTAATATGTCTTTTAAATGCTGCAATAAAATATTTTTTATCTTGATTACTGAGTTTTTTGGTGCCTCTTATGCCTCGCCTGCCTCCCTCTGGATGTCAGTGTAACCACATCTCTACTGGACAGTGCTGGTCTAGAAAAACTCTCATACATCTCTGTACTCAAGAGGACATGTACACGAACGTCTGTGGTCACCTTGTTTGTCCTCACAAATTTAGAAATAACCTCTGTGTTTATCAACAAGATAATCAGTAGCTAGTCTCCATGCAATAAAATTCTCTTTCATACAGAAGTAAGATGAATAAATTAATGCTACATACATAAGCAAGGAGAAATCTTCAATACATTCAGAGTATGTTAAAAAAATACAGGTTGTAGAATATCATATAAAGTGCGGTACCAATCAGTGAATGTTTTAAAAATTCCACAAAAAATAATTATTTATGATATACATATGCGGTAAAAGTATAAAAACACAGGCATGATAACAAACCCATCTCAGAATAACTGTTGTCTCTGGGAATGGAAGAAGGGAAATGAGATTAAGAAAAGTTATATTAGAGACTTCAACTATATGATTAATTTGTTTTAAACAAAAGATTGGGAGCTAAATGGCAAATTGCCAGGATTTGTTTTCTGCCAGTGGGCACCTAGATCTATCTTGTGTTATTATTCCCCATAGTTTTCTCTATATTAAAAATAGATCACCATAACAAGTAAATGAGAAAAATACATTGTGTGAGATAGTTTTTTTTTTCTTGAGACCGTTTTTAAAAAGACGAAGTTTTGGGGCGCCTGGGTGGATTAGTCGGTTAAGCGTCCGACTTTCGCTTAGGTCATGATCTCGCGGTTCGTGGGTTCGAGCCCCACGTCGGGCTCTGTGCTGACTGCCAGCTCAGAGCCTGGAGCCTGTTTCAGTCTGTGACTCCCTCTCTCTCTGACCCTCCCCTGATCACGCTGTCTCTCTCTCTCTCCTAGAAATAAATAAAAAACATTTTTAAAAATTTATAAAAAGACTGTTTCAACGACTTGTTGAAGCTGTTGTGATTGAACAAAAGTATAGGGCTGGTTCTATTCCCTCCATGAGCTGGAAATACAGCCAGGTGTAGTGGTAGACGCTAAAGCTTAGGAGAGGGATGAAATCCTAACTTGCCTGTTTTTTAGCTGTGTAAACTTGAGCAATGTCGTCAGATTTTCGTTTTCATGTCTGTGAAATAAGGATCATAATATTTGTCTTAAGGGTCAGAGTGACAACTGTCAAATGACTGGCACAGCTGACATTCTATAAACTGCAGGCTTATGTACATTAGTGCAGATTTTCCTTCTCTTCCTTTATACTTCGGACCTTCTGGGTACCTTCTGCTTTTGTCCTTCCTTCAAAGTCAAGGAAAGAGAAATATCTGCTCAAATGAGAATAAAACCACAAGCACACCTGTCTTTGTACCCAAGAAAAGCAAATAGCTTCTAACACACTCAATATGTACATTTCAGCAGAATGAAATGTAATTGAAACTTTACTGTATAATGACACTAACACTTGCCCAACTGATCTCACTGAGAAGCTATGAACACTAATTCTGTGAGGAGTAAGAAAGCCTTTTCTGAACTCTAATGGATTCTTAGTTTTTCTGCAGTAGTCAGTAGGGGGAGCTTTTCCTCATTTTGGCAGGTTTGACGTGGAAAACACATAGCCACAGGGGCCTCTGAAACCAAGAGCTGGAACTGCAGAGATACTGGGTATTTATTATCAGGATGACCTTAAACCAGTTCCCAATGAATAACAGGTAGCTATCGGAATTGAAAAGGATCTTCAATGTGATTGTCTCATGTATTCCTCACAGATAAGTTAAAATGAGGTAAGATATTCCTAAGGTATACAGCATTCTGTTTATTGGGGTGCTCTGAGGACAGATAAAAATACCAGAGTCCCTTCCTTTGTTGGTTAGTCCACACAACCATTTACCCACGTGGACATTAACCCTTCCGTCCAGTCAAAAGGGAAGGCAAACCATAAAAGAGAACCTCCTATGTGTCAAGGATTATGTTAGAATTATTTTACGTACAGTTTTCCATGTAACCAGATTATTATTTATGTGCTAGGTGCTGTACTTACGGATATTAAGGTGAATGTGGCATAATCTCTGAATCAGAAGTGTACTAGAGTAACTGGGGCAATATTATATGTATACAAATAACTAATACAAGTCACAACACACAAAAATACAATGTTCAAAGAAAATGCTACAGAAATCAGAAAAAGATATGTCAGACAGGAACCAGCATTAGGAAACAAAGAAGGAAGACTTTGAACTGGTTAGGAGTGATCACACAAAGCCTGTGCACAGGACGGGGTGAAGAACATATCAGATGGAGGAAAACAGTGAATAAATGCATGAAAGAGGGAAAACTCAGGCTGGGAGAGAATTATCACAAAATCTGAGGATGGGATTAGACTCATGCACCCATTCCTTTCATGGAATGACTTCATTATGGTCTAGAGAGGAATCCTTCTATCTTCAGTATCCAATCAACCCCAAAATAGTGGGTTTCCTACACTTAGACACCTATAGCTTTGATTGTATGAAACAACATGCCTAGAACAGAGCTAAAACTGTTCATATTGTGAATTTATTCCTTTCTTAAAGTTTAATATTAGGGCCTCTACTTTTTCTCCTTGGGTGGAGACTTGGGAGCACTTTAAGTTCTTGGAACCTGGAAACACTAGGCAACTTGGAGATGTCATATTTATAGACTTTATTTTACAACCAGCAAGATGTAGAGTCAAACATGGCAGCGCCATTAGGATGTCACTTCTTCCCTCTCACAGCTTCCATGATCTGTGCCCTCACTGTCCTCCTGTCACCGGGATAATGTGTCCCCTTTCCTCAGCCTCCACCAAGACACTGATTATTCAGCATCCCCCATGATCTTTATCTTCAAGTCTCTTCTCTATCGAGTTTTCCTTCCCCAACTAAAAACATGATCAAGCCCCCCTCATTAAAGTATAAAAACCATCAAACTCTTTCTTGATGCTAAATCCTTGCTATTTTTATCAATCACCATCCATTCTTTATAATCAAGTTCTTGACAGAGTTCATCTACATGCCCTTTCTATTTCCTCTTGTCCAAATCACTATTTAGCCTACTGCGTCTTGGATTCTATCCCTCCACTGAAATGGCTCTCATAGTGTTAATTATCTATTGCTGTGTAACAAATAACTTCAATATGTACCAGTTTATAACAACAAATATTTGCTTTCTTACAGGAACCAGGATTTTGAAAGTGGCTTACCTGGGCGGTGCTGGCTCAGGATTTCTCAAGCTTGCAAAAGCTTCCAGAAGAGCTACAATCAATCAGGGGTCAACTGAGACTGGAGAAGACATCCACATTCCTTCCCATGGTTGTTGGCAACCCTTGGTTCTTACTGGCTATTGTTCAGAGGCTTTAGTTCTCACCATGTGAGCCTTCTCCATGGGGGTTCTCACAACATGGAAGTTTGCTTCTCAAAGACCAAGAGACCAGAGAGACATGCACTTAAAATTTTTTTAAACGTTTTTTATTTATTTCTGAGAGAGAGAGATAGTGTGAGCAGGGGAGAGTCAGAAAGAGAGGGAGATAAAGAATCTGAGGCAGGCTCCAGGCTCTGAACTAGCTGTCAGCACAGAGCCTGACACGGGGCTTGAACCCATGAACCTGAGATCATGACCTGAGCTGAAGTTGGCCGCTTAACTGACTGAGCCACCCAGGTGCCCCATGAGAGACACACACTTAAGAAGGTGCCCCAGTCCTTTATAACCCAAACTTAGAAGTGACATACCATCTCTTCCATCACATGCTATCTGTCACACAAACCACCCCTGGCATGATGTGAGAGGGACCATACAGGGTTGGGTCAGTGGGGTTGATCTATCAGTCTGTCCACCATGCTCACTAAGGTCACCACTGAGGACCTACTAATGGCCAAATTCAGCGGACACTTTCTTGTCCTTACCAAGTATTATGGGCTGCATGTTTGTGTCCCATCCCTCCCAATTCATGTGTTGAAGCCTTAATGTCCACTGTGATGATTTTAAGAGGTGGGTCTTTTGTGAGGTGATCAGGTCATGAAGGTGGAACCCTTATGATGGGAAAAGAAGAGACCTGAGAGAACTTACTTCCTCTCTCCCTCTCCCTCTAGCACATGAAGACATAACCAGGAAGAGGGTCCTTACCAGGAACTGAATTGACTGACCTTAATCTTAGGACTTCCCAGTCTTCATAACTGTAAGAAATACATTTCTGTTGTTTAAAACCACCAGACTATGGTAGTTTTGTTACAGCAGCCCAAATGGACTAAGATACCAAGTAAAAGATTTGCTTTGGTGTAGCACTCCAGTCCACCTGACCCCTCCCTCTGTAGCCTCCTCTTTTCTCTAGGTGGTTGTGATTTCTCCCTTTTGGTTTTCCTCCTACTTCTTGATCTGCTAATTCTCAGTCTCCACTCTTCCCTTCAGTTTGCCTCGTAGGTATGGATTCACTCCTCAGGTGAATGCCCTTGTGCCCCTGATTGCCCTTTGCCCAAATTGGTGGTTCCAAGCTGAACTCATGTTCCCCTTTTCATACGTTGTCTTCCTGTGGTCACCTTATCAGTGACTCTTCTTGGACCTCACCTGCTCCCCAACATCAGAGGTCTTAGCAATGTCAGAATGATTGACTTAATTGGAGTTTGCAAACTATGGAGCCCCAGGAATATTTTACTTGTTTAAACTAAGTTGTGTCTACAATAAATGAAAGAATTTTTTTAAAAACCCAGATCATCTACTTTTGAAACCTGAATTTTTATGTAACAACACAAAGTGGGAGCTGAGTGGCAGCTACTCCACTTATTCTAAGCATGTACTATCTATTTGGCTGTGAAGTTTACAATGGTCCCCACTGCTACCTACTGACCTCTAAGAAGGCCCCTAGAATGTTTTGCTTTTACATTTTATTTTATTTTTTTATTACCTGCACAGACCTTGTAGTAAAGTGTGTTATAGATTTGTCTACAAACATCCTGGTGCTTCTTTATTAAAAAAAATGTTGCAGAATTATTCATTGCCTTTCCAAAAATATAGACACTATTGCAATAGTATAGGAAATGCAGGCTTTACCTTGCTCTACCCCAACCTCTAAATAAAGGAAAGTGACATCAAATTTCCTATGAATGAAGACCGGCTCCTTTTAGTATCAGTGATAGCTCCTTTTTGCCCTTGCTGTTGTTTATCATAAACATGGCAAATAAGCTGCCTGATTTGCTTTTGGGTATACAGCGTTTATGAAGGGAACTTAGAGCCTCTTTGGTCCAAGGACTATGGAAAGACTGACCTGAGCTCAATGATCAAAGTCACTTAAGTTTGCTCAGTGATTCTTGCTCTCTTGGCCAGACACATTTATTTCAGTTGGATGGATTCTTTCTGCTTAAATCTCTCCAGGTCATCAGTTTTGTTAGGAGATAGGTGTCACTTTTCTACACCACAGAATTATTCCAGTCGGGTGGAGTCAAGGCCCCTGGGGAAGCTGGGCAATCACCCACCTTTCATGCAGACTCAGCTTCTTCCTGAGTTGCCTCCAGGTAAGGGATGGAACCAGGCTTTGCAAAAACAGGGTTTGGTCACCTTAGCTCCACGTCACCAGGGTCCCAAGAGCATACACGTGAGCCTGAAAACCTGCTTCTTTATAAATGAAACAGAAAACGATGTTTTTGAAACCTCTACACAAAAATGTACTATATTATGAAATCAGAGATGAATAACATATAGGGACGATTATAAACAAGGAAAACTGCTCTGAAATGATAGATGGTTTGTTCAATCCGTTTCAGTTCCTTGATAACATTTTGCAGGTGTAATCAGGGTTCTGTTCTGCTAAAGCTAGGCCACAAATTACCTTGTCTGCCAGCAGTTTGCTGGTTGGATTTACAACCATATTTTTCCACATATAAAGATCCCTAGGAATCTAATTTTTTCAGGGATTTTCATTTCCTTACAAAGTTTATGTACTGCTTCCCACTTTTATTTCATAAAATAGGGGGGCACATTTTAAAACTAGGTTGTTTTAAAAGGTCTGTGTATAATATTCTTTTCTTTTTCACTATACTAAGCTATATTATATAAATAAAAACATGGTGTGAGCCAAATACATTCATATTTCAACACAATAGGGCTTCTCTGCAAGCCATGAAATTTAAGTATCCTATCGAATGAATTCAATTCCACATTGAATTCCCCTCTCTGAGCCACCATGTTTCTGAGATTTTATTACTTCTGGCAATAGAAGAAACTGGTCAGTCTTACAGTAATTCATTCTGGACACGGAGAGGAGTAAAACCTGGTCTCTTCAAGTCAATTGAAGCCAAATAATTAAGTTACTCCCATATGGTACAACTCACTGCTTTAACCTCAAAGTCTTCCGGCACATTATTAAAAATAGGGTTTGAGAGCGTCAAAACAATTTGGCCATTTGCTTCAGTTTCCATTTTATTTTGGAAGGATCTCCTTTGGCTGAGTAAGGACAAAGTTGACTCTTTATGCAAGAAGAAACTGGGATAAGAGAAGCAGAAAAAGCAGAAAGGGAAAGTAACTACATATTGGGGTAAGGGAGAGGGAAAGGAAACATTTATTGAGAACTGACTATAACAGGCATTTTGTATATTTTATCCCATTTAATGTCACAAACCCCTGATAAGTAGGTATTGTGTCACATGATTTGAGACTTAGAGAGACTGGTGGGCTAACTCCCAAACCCATGTTCTTTCCATCACTACCTGGAGAATAAGAAAAAGTGAGAATAAACACGTTTGAAGGATTATGACCCAATCACTGCAGGGATTTGATAGGAAATTGGTGCAAGCGATGTGTAGGGCTTGAGGAATTTGGGCTGAGGATGACAGACTGAGATGTTATCATTTTAAAAGGCAGAGAATCAAATACAAGTTCCAGAGAGGTCTGGCAAAGTTCCTAAAGGCCTAGGCTTATGTCTTGATCATTTGGAGTGTTTCATGGTTCCTTGATTTAGCCTGGTGGTGGATTTAGCCTGGTGATTTAGTGAGTGACAGAGAAGGCAGTAAGTTTTATCCATGAGGAGCAGGAAGTGGACAGGTGCCAGACATGATCTGGCTTATGTGTTAAGAGAAAGACTGCCTGCTTTGTGGACAACAGACAATAAGGGCTTACATATAGAACTAAGCCAACCAGCCAGTGGGTAGGGCGGGGGTCCAAGTAAGGTAGGGTGGTGGCAAGAACCAGAGTGTTAGGGTGGAGAGAGTGAGGAGTGGTTGGATTTATATCATCTTTTTTAAAAATAGAGCTTATATCTGGCTAATGGGTTGATATAAGGTGTGAGGCAAAGATGCAAAGTCAAGGACAATGTCAAGTTGTTTATTTAGTCTGAGAAATTGAGTGAAACTATGATGGGAAAACATCAGTACAAATATCAGAAGCATTTTTGAAAAGCTAAAAAGAGAATTAACTCCAGTGTGGTATATAATAACTTTTATGTATCTGTTAGTCATTTAAGGGATAATTTTAGAAAGACGGTTGTACAAGTCTGAAGATACTATATAGGAGTAAGATATTAGGGCTGGTAGTCTACATAGAAATATATAGCATTTAAATTTTTTTTCATTTATTTTAGAGAGACAGAGCACAAGCAGGGGAGGTGCAGAGAAAGGCAGAGAGAGTCTTAAGCAGGCTCCACACTTGGTAAAGAGCTTGATATGAGGCTTGATCCCACAACCCTGTGGTCATGACCTGAGCTGAAGTCACAAGTCGATGCTCAACCAACTGAGCCACCCGGGCACCCCAGAATTGTATAGAGTTTAAGTCCATGAAATTGGGTAAGATCACTATGGGAGTGAGCATGGAGAGAGGAGAGGAGACGTTCATGGATCTAGGGTCACTCTGGCCTTTGTATTAAGAATCACCACAAGACCATCTTGGAGCCATCCACAGCTTTCTCTTACAACCTGCATCCAATTTAGCGAACAAATCTCTCTTCTAACCACATCCATAGCTATCATCCCAGTCCCAGCTGCCATGAACACTTCCTTGATGGTGACAGTCCATTGTCTGACTTCGTTGTGGCAGCCTAGACCGACTAATACAGATGGTAGTGACTTCTTGCAGTGCCTGATCTCTGGGTAACAGTCCCTCTCTTCCCTCTCACCACTCCAAGAATCTAGTCCTTTTAATACTTTTAAATAGTATCTCCTGTATTAAATCCCCTTGTGCTGAAAGTACCTAAGGTGACCTCCGCTTTTCTGAGTAAATCCTGACCAATACAGTATTTGCTACCAAGGCTGATAATGGCACATTACTTTCAGAATGATAATGGCACATCAAACTGCATTCACTGATATAGGTGCAACAGCCAGAGATTTTGAAAGCTCTATGGGATCTTGAGCAGCTGGCATGGTTACTTTCAGTTCGCTTGTTTAGTTGACTGAAGTTGAACTCAGCAGTGGCCCAATTCAATGAAGCTGAGATGCCATGGTTGTAGTGGAAAAGAAGGAATCCAAAGACTTATGGAGACAAGGGTTGGGATACATTTTTTTGGGTGTGATTCTCTCCCATTCCACTATGTCCCTAAGAGGACCCAACACATTGAAAAAAATGCACTGATGAGTGAAACACCAAATGTAATGCACTCTGCGCAGTCTGTCTCTTGCTAGCTGGGGGTCAAGGTAATAGAGGCCACCATTACAAAGCACCTCTGAGTGGCTGAGACCAAGCAGCAGTGCTTAAGTGCTTAAGACAACATGGGCCCAGCTCCTGAAATGGTCAGGAGGAATAGGACAGCAATCTGAATGTGGTGACTCATTGTGGCTATTTGATCAGTGTTTTGGGGACTGGTAAATGGGCATCCAACTGAAGTGGTAAAGATAGTGAGACACATCTGATATCTGGACAGTAGGCCTTGAGCTTGTGTAGTCCCAGTAGCACTGTGTCCTCTCACCTGAACCCTCTCAAGCCAATTCATTGACTTGGAGCCTCTTGAATGAAGGAGAGACTGAGTCTTTCTGAAGAAGGAGCTGTGACACTACCACAGTCACATAGTGTAAACACTCCTCCACAAGGATCTGCATCCATGTATCAAGATGATGGTGAATTGAGGAAAGAGAAATAACAATGTCTTTAGGAATTGTAGTCAGCAAATCAAAATTCATGTTAATTCCTGGAGACCTGAAATGCACCCATGGTCTATGAGAGTTGGGGCTTATGGAAGCTGGGTGATAAATGGAGTAT